GAGGCCGGCGAGCCCCGGAGCCGAAACTGTTTAGGGTTTAGGGTTTAGGGTTTAGGGTTTAGGGTTTAGGGTTTAGGGTTTAGGGGTTCAAGGGTTTAAGGGTTTAAGGGTTTAAGGGTTTAGGGTTTAGGGGTACCCTAAACCCTAAACCCTCAACCCCCGGATGCCGAAGCCTTGAAACTGCCGGAAGGCCGAGGCAGAGTCGCTCCGGGACGTGGCGGCCGTCCTCCTGGGCGGCTCTGGTGGAATTTAGGGTTTCGGGGTTTAGGGTTTAGGGTTTAGGGGTTTAGGGGTTTAGGGGTTTAGGGTTTAGGGTTTAGGGTTTAGGGGTTAGGGGTTTAGGGTTTAAGGTTTCGGGGTTGATGGGGGTTTTGGGGTTTAAGGGGTTTAGTGTTTTTGAGGGATGGACTAGGGTTTGGGGTTTGGGGTTTAGGGTCCGCCCCAAGAACAGGCGCATGCTAGTCAGGCAGGACAGAGACGCCCTAAGGGGCAGCCCTCAACAATGAATTATATAAACCCTGAAACCTAAGATTAAGAGCATTCCCAAAACCCTAAACCCTGAGACCCCTAAGGGCCCTAACCCTAAACGCCGAAGACCCCTAATGACCGTAAGCTTCTAAACCATCCCAAAACCCAAAACCATCCCTAAACCCCAAACCCTAAACCCTAAACCCTAAACTCTAAACTCTAAACCCTAAGCCCTAGGGCCCCGGACCTTGGCAGTGAAATTCCCAGACACCCCAAGCTGCAAGCCCTGACCTTGGATCCGACCTCATGCACCGGCTGTGCCTAATGGGCAAAGTCTCGATTCCGCTGAACGGGCTTTTCGGGATTTAGGGCTTGAGGGTGTAGGGTTTAGGGTTTAGGGCTTTAGGGTTTAGGGTTTAGGGTTTAGGGTTTAGGGTTTAGGGCTTGAGGGCTTGAGGGTTTAGGGCTTGAGGGTTTAGGTTAAACCCTAAACCCTAACCCCCATGGGGCCCTACCTTGGACCAGTAAGGTGGTACCCTTTGGGTTTGGGGATGGTAATGTAGGGCCATATTCGGGGAAAATTGAGGGGCCGGGGTACACCCTTAGGGGTACAAGTCTTAACCCGTTTCGAAAGGGGGCCCCCTTATATAGCCCTTATATACCCTATACAAGTTAGGGACCCATACATCAGAACCCCTAGGAGGTTAAAGACCATGTTAAGGGCATAAGGGCTCATATACCCTAAACCCTGAACCCTAAACCCTAAACCAAAAACCCTAAACCCTAAACCCTAAACCCTCAGACCATTAAAAGCCCCAAGCAGAGCTTGACGCAAAGGTGATGGTCTGGAACCTGTTCTCGAGGTACCTGGGCTCTGCCTGAAGTTGAGGGTTTCGGGGGTCATGGCTTAGTCTAGGGTTTGGGTTTAGGGTTTAGGGTTTAGGGTTTGGAGATTAGGGTTCAGGGTTTAGGGTGGTTGCGAGTCTCTCGGTGGGTTCAACGCGCCAGTCCTAGTTTTCCCGAAGCCTTGGCCCTGCAACCAAGCCCTGACGCCCAAAATCTGACATCTGAAAGTATCCTGAGACCGCAACCCCTACTAAAGCCAGCCCGAAATATTGTGGGGATCTAAGCTCCCCAAAAGCCCAAAACCCTGAACTGCCTTAGGTCCTTACGTCCTCAACTCTAAGCCCTCGCCCTGAGAATCCTAAGCCCGAAATTCTAGACCCTAAGCCCTCAGACCTAAACCCCAAACCCCAAACCCCAAACCCTAAACCCTCTACCCTAAACCCTAAACCCTAAACCCTAAACCCTAAACCCTAAACCCTAAACCCTAAACCCTAAACCCTAAACCCTCTACCGGATAGGCCGCAAGCCCGAAGGTGAGTAGGAACCCCGGGCTTGATAACTCCTTCTTCCGCGCTGAGCTTCACGGAGGGCGAAACCCAAAACCCTAAGCCCCACTGTCATGCCTAAGCCGTAAAAACGGGTTTAGGGTTTAGGGTTTAGGGTTTAGGGTTTAGGGTTTAGGGTTTAGGGTTTAGGGTTTAGGGTTTAGGGACTCTACCAAAAGCCCGAGACCCCAACCTTGTATCAGGTGCTCCGCGCGGAGGGAGTGCCTGAGGAGGTGCTCCTGGGATTCGAGCCACTCTGCCCTGGTTCTGCTACCCTAAACCCAAAACCCTAACCCTAAACCCTAAACCCTAAAAACTAAACCCTAAACCCTAAACCCTAAACCCCAAACCCTAAACTCTAAACCCTAAACCCTAAACCTCTCTACCCTTTCACCCTAAATGTTAAACACGAATTTGGCGTTTGGACCCCCATTGTTCAGCACGAATTTGGCGTTTTGACCCGTCTGACCCGTTGGCCCCCGCCATTGTTCAGCACGAATTTGGCGCATTGACCCGTCTGACCCATTTGGCCCCCCATTGTTCAGCACGAATTGGCGTTTTGACCCGTCTGACCCGTTTGCCCCCCCCTCATGGTTCAACCCGTTTGGCCCCCCCCCATTGTTCAGCACGAGTTTGGCGTTTTGACCCGTCTGACCCATTTGGCCCCCCATTGTTCAGCACGAATTTGGCGTTTTGACCCGTCTAACCCGTTTGGCCCCCGCATTGTTCAGCACGAATTTGGAGTTTTGACCCGTCTGACCCATTTGCCCCCCCCATTGTTCAGCACGAATTTGGCGTTTTGACCCGTCTGACCCATTTGGCCCCCCATTGTTCAGCACAAATTTGGCGTTTTGACCCGTCTGACACATTTCCCCCCATTGTTCAGCACGAGTTTGGCGTTTTGACCCGTCTGACCCATGTGGCCCCCCATTGTTCAGCACGAATTTGGCGTTTTGACCCGTCTAACCCGTTTGGCCCCCGCATTGTTCAGCACGAATTTGGCGTGTTGACCCGTCTGACCCATTTGCCCCCCCCATTCTTCAGCACGAATTTGGCGTTTTGACCCGTCTGACCCATTTGGCCCCCCATTGTTCAGCACAAATTTGGCGTTTTGACCCATCTGACTTTGGCCCCCCACTGTTCGGCACGAATTTGGCGTGTTGACCCGTCTGACCCAATTGGCCCCCCTTTGTTCAGCACGAATTTGGCGTTTTGACCCGTCTGACCCGTTTGGCCCCCCCATTGTTCAGCGAAGAAAGGCTTTGAGACCCTTAGAGCCCCCAAGACCTCCCCTTGTTTTCTACCCTTCCGCCTCCATACTAGCCCACTAGGTTACGGGTCCCCTCATAATGAACCGAAACCCTAAACCCTAAATTCCCACTTGGGCCGTACCCACTAGGGTGCCTGGACCCAGAATTATACCCGGCAGCCAGACACACCTTTACGCCTGACGCCCCCCCCCCCACCCCTCGCCTGGCTAAATCCCTGACCCCGCCCCCCCCTAACCACCTGAGCCCTGTTACCTGATCCCCCGCCCGGCTACCTTCACCACACCTTTGTAGGGAAAGCAATGGTGGGAATTGAGGGCGACAGCCCTAAACCCTAAAAGGCAGTGGTTTGGGTGGTGGCCTGTGAAAGCTCACAGCGGGCGGGGAAAAAGAAACCAACACCAATGAAAATTGTTGGGCTACATTGAATACAAGTGCCTTCGCGTGACATGCCGCCTCCCCCCCCACACCCCCTGGGTGTGTTGGGGCGCCATTTACACATGGTACTTACTGCTGCTGCGCGGCGAGACGCCCTGAACCCTAAACCCTCAGCCCTAAACCCTAAACCCTAAATCCTGTAGAGAGTGGATAAGTAGGGAAACCCATGAACCTTGGTATGACCTCGAAGAAGCCGTGAGCCCCAAAGCTTCCAGAGCCCCTAAGCCCTAACGCTAAACCCTAAACCCTAAACCCTAAACCCTAAACCCTAAACCCTAAACCCTAAACCCTAAACCCTAAACCCTAAACCCTAAACCCTAAACCCTAAACCCTAAACCCTAAACCCTAAACCCTAAACCCCCTTAAGCCCCTATACCCCTTATGCCCCCTTAACATTCTGGGAGCCCACAGCTGGGGTCTCAGGTTTCGTTGGGGCTAGGCTTTGGGGTTGGGGGTTTGGGGTGTTGGATTTAGGGTTTAGGGTTTAGGTTTTAGGGTTTAGGGCTAGGTAGGCCCTTGGGACATCTCATATTTTCCCTTTGGGGGCTTAGAAGGACATTTACGAATAGTTTTCAGAGGGTTTTTAAGGGCCATCCGAGTTTATGTTTCAGGGCGTTCTTGAGGTCTTGAGCTTTAGGGTTTAGGGTTTAGGGTTCAGGGTTTTAGGGTTTAGGGTTTAGGGGTTTAGGGTTTAGGGTTTAGGGTGTAGTTCTTGTTGGCTGAGGTCGCTGTGCTGCGGGATCCATGTGGACGGTGCGTGAGCTGAATTAAGTGAAGTTTTGGATCTCAACGCCTCGGGCCTGCAACTTCCGTAAGAGGGCCGGGCCCGGTTGGCCAGGATTGTGTACAGATCTTGCCGCGCGGCTCACCCCACGTTGGGAAATGCCGGGAACACACCAGGGTCCCAATATCGTAGCGGCCCTAAGCTCTACACCCTAAGCCCAGCCTAAACCCTACAACCCTGAAAAAGTGAAGTCAGAGATGTGCCGGGCCCCGAAGGCGTGTTCCGCGTAGCTTTCCGAGAGGGTGTGGAACAAGCGCTGTACAGAAGAAGCACCTTCACAAGGTGCAGAGAAGGCCCTGTGATGTTGGGCGAAACCTACCCTAAACTCTAAACCCTAAGCCCTAAGCCCTAAACCCTAAACCCTAAACCCTAAACCCTAAATCCTAAACCCTAAACCCTAAACCCTAAACCCTAAACCCTATCTTGTTGCCACCTCTGGGCATCCTGAACCCTTAAGCCCAAACCCTCAACCCCAGACGGCCCCAGGCCTCCTGGATTGCGGGTTTAGCGTTTAGGGTTTAGGGCTACAGGGTTTAGGGTTTAGGGTTTAGGGTTTAGGGTTTAAGGTTTAGGGTTTGGGGTTGAGGGTTGAGGGTTTAGGGTTTAGGGCTATCGGCAAGGCCGCAAGGCCCACCAAAGTCCACTCCTGAGGAGTCGGCCTTGCAGCTGCTCAAGCGAGCCGCCAGCGAGGCGCGGTTGCTTTGGGCTTTAGGGGTTCGGGGTTTGGGGTTAGGGGTTCGGGGTTTGGGGTTTAGGGTTTGGGGTTTGGGGTTTGGGGTTTGGGGTTTGAGGTTTGGGGTTTGGGGTTTGGGGTTTGGGGTTTGGGGTTTAGGGGCTGAAGCCTTAGGGTTTACGGTTTAGGGTTTAGGGTTTGGGGTTGTGGGTTTAGGGTTGTGGGTTTGGGGTTTAGGGTTTTGGGTTTAGCATCTAGGGTTCAGGGTTTAGGGTTTGGGGTTTAGGGTTCAGGGCTGAGGCCTTAGGGTTTTCCAGAAATTCCGAACATGCTGAATGTCAGCACCGTCCCCACAGGGTTTTAGGGTTTAGGGCTCGGGCTTACTTGCTCAATTTGTCCTTGCTTTGTTCTCTGCTTACGCCAGGTGATCAAGGTTTTAGACATTCTGGGCTCGGGATTGTAGCTGTTCAGGGTTTAGGGGGCTTTTTGGGCCAAGAGCCCTAAAGGCCTAGACCCTAAACCCGATGGACCCTGTAGGCCCTATAGACGACCCTCTAGAGACCCTGCAGACGCCCAAAAAGACCCTGTAAACCCTAGAGACCCTAAACCCTAAACCCTAAACCCTATATAAGCCCTAAACCCTAAACCCTAAACCCTAAACCCTAAGCCCTAAGCCCTAAACCCTAAACCCTAAACCCTAAACCCTAATCACAGGCCCTACAGGCCCGAAACCCAAACTTCTACTGCCCACTCCGCGTGCAACTGTGACGGTGCCTTGCAAGGCCCTAGCAGCGCCAGGCCCGTTTCTGAGAGTTTCCTGTGAGTGAGGGTTTGGGGTTAAGGGTCTGTAGGGTTTAGGGTTTCCAGAGTTTAGGGTTTAGGGTTGGGGCCTATAGGGTGGGATTAGGGTTTTGGGGCTTCGGGTTTGATATCTGGAAGGTTTTGGGTCTTCTATTGCATATTTCTGAGGGTAGTTTCAAGAATATGGTCTTGCCTTCTTTAAAGGGTTCTGATGTATGGGCCATTGGGCTGTATAGGGATATAAGGGGTAAATTAGGGGTCCCCAAGGGCCCATACTAAGGGACCATGTGGGGTTCCATAAGCTTGATAAGGGTGTAGGACTTGTTGCACAATCTGCAGAAGGGAACGATGTTCTTGAGCGATTCACCGACCGCTGACTGGTGGGGGGATCGAGCGACGAGGCGTTCGGTGTCGGCCAGTGTCATATGTTTGAACGAGCATGTTCTGGCGACATCGTCCCGAACCCAGAAGAGTCTGAGCCTTTCTTCATGCGGGTCAGAGTTCAATGCGTACGTGTCAGGAATGTGTGACCTGATATACGTGCATTCTGCGCTGAAATTCATCTTGGATGAAGAGATCGAACGACACACGTGTCTTGACAGCTCTGCAGCAAGAGGGCTGCTCGCCCGCGTGGGCTTTGGCCGCGTGAGGCACCTGTCAGGAAAATTTCTACGGGTCCAAGACCTCAACCGCGCCAAGTGCATGTCTGTGTCGCCGATTGAAACCTTGAAGAATGGGGCAGACATAGACGCAAAGTCCCTAAGTCATGAAAGGATCCTGTGCTTGCTGTACTTGTTGCACACCCAGTCAGTGAGGGATTTACATGGGGTTTCCGAGAAAGGGGTACCCTTCTCGGGGGTCCCTTTTAGGGATTCTATTCTCTTTGGGGTATAAAGGGGGTCCCCCTATCTTGGGAAATACCCATATCATATGTGGGATTTAGGGTTACTTTGGGGTTCAGGTACCATCCGCACCAGAGGGTTGGACGTTATTGTGGGTTTAGGGTTTAGGGCTTAGGGCTTAGGGTTTAGGTTTTAGGGTTTAGGGTGCTTTACGGCCCAAACCCTAAGCACCAAGTCCCAAACAGGTTTGCCAAAGAAGGGGGAGGAGGAGGCCACAGCCATCGCTAAAGCCATTGAGGCCGGCTGGTTGCGGTTTTTTGGGTTTAGGGAGTAGAGAGACAGACATACATCCCGAACTTGGGAGTTAGTCCGTCCCTAAACCCTAAACCCTAAACCCTCAACCCTAAACCCTAAACCCCAAACCCTAAACCTTCAACCTGAAACCCTACACCCTGAGCGCAGTCGACCTTAAACCCCAAGCCCTTTCAAAAGCGGTGCAGCCCTAGACTCCCCCCAGAAATTTAGCAAGTTCGAAAATCCCAGGTTCTCTCCCTAAACCCTAAACCCCAAACCCTAAACCCTAAACCTAAAGCCCTAAACCCTAAGCCCTAAATTCCGGAGCGTGATACATCTCCATCCATATCCTAACCCTAAACCCCCTGAGTCCTAAGCCCCGCGGGTGTCTGTAAACCCTAATCCCGAACCCCAACCCTAAATCCCAAACCCTAAGCCCTAAACTCTAAACCCCAAACCCTGAACCCTAGGCCCTAAGCTTCTAGGTAAGGGAGCCTTCCGAAACCCTTAAACCCTACACCCAAACCCTAAACCCAAAAGCCCTAAGCCCCAAAACCCTAAACCCCTAAATCCTAAACCCCGAAACCCCAAACCCCAAAAACCCTCAAACCCTTACCCCTAAACCCTAGCCCCGAAACCCTAAACCCCAAACCCTAAGCCCTAAGCCCAAGCCTCCCTAAACCCTAAACCTTAAACCCTAAACCCTAAACCCTAAACCCTAAACCCTAAACCCTAAACCCTAAACCCTAAACCCTAAACCCTAAACCCTAAACCCTAAACCCTAAACCCTAAACCCTAAACCCTGAGTGAGCCCGGGGCCGTCGAGCAGGGCGAACGCACCGAAGCCGGCAGGCGAGGTCGCTCCGGAGCCAGAGGCGGGCGACGGAGCTCCAGTCCCGCAGGCAGCTGCGGGCTGCACGGTGGACCCGGCATCAGGTCGCCCTAGCTGCTTTTGAGAGGTCTCCCAAGCCTCTCCCAGAGGAGCCTCGCCTCCGCCCGTCGTCGCGTTTCCTGGACCAGAGGCTCCCAGACCCGGTTCAGGCAGGCGGCCCATCAATTTTCCTCAATCAGGCGCCTGCTACTGGCTGACCCTGACCCTGACCCCGCCCTTTGCCTTGAAACCCCTCCTCCTGAAAAGCAAGCCTTGGCTAAGAATCCAGGTCCCCAACCAGGACGCAGCATGCAAGGGCGAAGGCGGCAGCCAGCCCCAAGCCCAAACCTTTTGGTTTTGCACTCACAAAGAATTACTGGAAAACTGTGGCCCCTACCTGCGAGGCCGCCTCCCTTGCCTGAAAAGCAGGCCTGCCCTGCCTGGAAAGCCCTGCCTGCCCTGTTTGGCCCTGCTTGCCTGGGATGCCCTGCCTCAGAGCCTGCCTGGGAGGGCCCTGGATTGTGGGCTGTAGGAGTGCACCTTGCAAGGATCCAGATCCCCAACCAGGACGCAGCATTCAAGGGCGAAGGTGGCAGCCAGCCCCAAGCGGGTTTCTGCCTAGGAGGCCCCCGCCCCTGCGTGAACCCGCCTGAATAGCAGGCCTTGCAGGGTTGAGGCCCCTTGGCGCTTTTAGAAAGACTCACAAGGCCTTCCAGATGCAGCATGCAGCAACCGCCCATCCCAACCGAAGGTGGCAGCCAACCCAATCCCAAACCTCTGACTTTCTGGCCCTCCCAGAAGCCCTCGAATGATGGACATCTAAGCCCAACATTAGAAAAGACGAAAATAACAAAAGATGCAGCATCAGCATGGCGAAAGCCCAAACCTCTGATTTCACGCCCTTCCAAGCAAGTTCTCCAAATCCCCACCCAGCACGCAGCATCGCCGAGGGCGAAGGCGGCAGCCAGCCCCAAGCCCAAACCTTTAACTTTTGGCTCCCCCAGCAGCCCTCGACTGATAGACATCTCCCTTGCAATGCCTAAGGGCTGCGACCTTCAGGGTAGTCTGCATCGATGCCAAGCTTCTAAACCCAACCAATAGACAAAAGAAAAATCACAAAAGCACGATCAGAGTTCAAAAGAACCCTAAACCCGTAAAGGTTAAGGCGAGGGTGGAGCGCCAGCGGGGGTGGGCTTATGCACGTCGGGGCACGCGCCTGGGTGCTTTCAGCACCAGCGCGCCCACTCATTGAGACACCCTAAACCCTAAACCCTAAACCCTAAACCCTAAACCCTAAACCCTAAACCCTAAGCCCTAAGCCCTAAGCCCTAAGCCCTAAGCCCTAGGCCCTAGGCCCCTGAGCCCTAAGCCCTAAGCCCTAAGCCCTAAGCCCTAAGCCCTAAGCCCTAAGCCCTAAGCCCCAAGCCCGAAGCCCTAAAGCCCTAAGCCCCAAGCCCCAAGCCCTAAGCCCTAAGCCCGAAGCCCTAAGCCCGAAGCCCTCAGCCCTCAGCCCTCAGCCCTCAGCCCTCAGCCCTCAGCCCTCAGCCTTCAGCCCTCAGCCCTCAGCCCTCAGCCCTCAGCCAACCGAAGCCCGAAGCCCGAAGCCCGAAGCCCGAAGCCTGAAGCCCGAAGCCCGAAGCCCGAAGCCCGAAGCCCGAAGCCCTAAGCCCTAAGCCCCAGCCTCCCTAAACCCAAACCCCAAAACCCAAAACCCCAAACCCTCTTTCTTCCCTAAACCCTAAACCCTAAACCCCAAACCCAAAACCCTAACCCTAAACCCTAAACCCCAAACCCTAGCCTCTAGGTAGGGGAACCCGCCAGGGCGCCCTCTTCGGTGTCGCCTTGGCCGGCGGCCAGAAGCGCCGCTACCTGGCCGAGGACCGGATCTTGGGACACGGGTTGAGGTAGGTTTTTGGGGTTTGGGATCGGGTTTAGGGTTTAGGGCTCGGGTTTAGGGGCTGGGGCTTAGGGGTTGGGGCTTGGGTTTAGGGTGTAGGCTCTATGGCTCGGGCTTAGGGTTTAGGGTTAGGGTGAATTTAGGGTTTAGGGTTTGGGGTTCAGGGTTTAAAGTTTAGTGGAGTCAGGGTTCAGGGATGAGTTGTCCCTCTTGCTTGGTTTAGCGGGGAGGGGGGGTTTCAGAGGCTGGGGGGCTTTTAGGACCTCAGGCACTTTGGGTGTTTTGTGTGAAGCCGCACGCCTTGGGGGGGGGAGGAGGCGGGGGGTGGTGTGTGTCAGTGGTATCCATATTTTGTTATTTTTAATCCCAAGCTCATCTGTGTCCCCACACTTTGCTTCCAGCCCCGAATCCTCACACCCCAAAACCCAAAATCTCCCCCCATCTGTAAGCCCCATAAACCCTAAACCCTAATCCCTAACCCCAAAAAAAGCTCGCTGCCCTTCCGGAGGTGCGGCGGCTCGGCGCAGCCTTGCGCGAGGTGCCTGGTTTGGTCTCTTTATGGTGGCGGGGGGGGGGGGGGGGGGGTTAGGTTTAGGTTTAGGGTTTGGGTTTAGGGTTTAGGGTTTAGGGTTTAGGGTTTAGGGTTTGGGGTTTAGGGTTTAGGGTTTAGGGTTTAGGGTTTAGGGTTTAGAGTTTAGAGTTTAGGGTTTAAGGTTTAGGGTTTAGGGTTTAGGGTTTGGGGTTTAGGGTTAGGGTTTAGGGCTTAGGGTTTCAGCTTGGGATGTTCCCGCATATATTAACAGTCCTTAATCGGGATTATAACACGGGGTACTACAATCCCTATCAAGGACTGTTAGTATAAGGCGCGCTCCTCTAAACCGAATCTAAACCCTAAACCCTACAGTGGCAGCGGGGGGGAAGGAAACTCAGTCCCGAAACCCCGTAAGTCACAAAAACCTTGAGATGTTCCTCCTCATACTAGCAGTCCTTGATTTAGGGTTTAGGGTTCAGGGTTTAGGGATTATAGTACCCCCTATTCGAATCCGTATTCAGGACTGTTAGTATAAGGGGGAGCATCCCAACATAAACCTCGTTTGTGGGGTATTGAATGCCGGAAGCTCGGTTTAGCGTTTAGGGTTTAGGGTTTAGGGTGCCTGAGAATCAGTGACACGTTTGTGGCAGGGCTGCCTGTCGGACTCCCTGCAGGAGCGCGGTTACAGGGGCTTGCAGCCCGAAACCCGGAAGGTTCTAGGCTTTAGGGTTTAGGGTTGAGGGTTTAGGGTTTAGGGTTTTGGGCGCCTTGGTCATCGCCCGCGCAGAGGGGGGGGTGAGGGGCAGAAGGGGTTCCAGAAGGGGTTCATGGCGGCTCCGAAACGCCAATCTTACAGGGCCGGAAGGTTCGAAGGCCGAGGGTTGGGCGGATGCGATGCCATAGACCGGCCTGCGCATAGTCTGTAGCCTAAACCATATAGCCTGAACCACCCTAAACCGTAAACCCTCACCCCTAAACCCTAAACCCTAAACACCCTAAACCCTGTTGCCTGAACCCTAAGCCACAAACCCTAAACCCTAAACCCTAGACGTTTTAGCTTCTGTGTGAGGGGTTAAATACTGCAGGCGTGCATTGGGTTAAGGGATTCGACGTTTGGCTTCGAGGTTCTTTAGGGTCGCTTCTCAAGGCTTGGGTTTAGTTAGGGTCTACTGGGAGGTTCATGGTACTTATTAACCAATTAGAACTGTACTTCTAACCCACTTATACGACCCTTAAGTGCCCTAATACGGCTATATGTACAATTATAAGTGCAGTCATAATTGGTTAAGAAGTACCATGAACCTCCCAGTAGGGTTCAGGCTTTAGGGTCTCGGGTTGTGAGTTTTGGTGAGGGGCTAGGATATTGGTTTGAGTTCAGGGTTTAGGGTTTAGGGTTCAGAGTTTCGGGTTTAGGGTTTCGGGTTTCGGGTTTCGGCTTTCGGGTTGAATGGTTTCGAGTGTACTGGTTTAGGCGCTTAGGGGGAGTGGGAGTCCTCGAACCTTCATCTCCCGAACTTCCAGCCGAAAAACCCCAAACCCCAAACCTAGCGAGGACGTGGCCGAAGGTGGCGTGCAAGCAGCACGAGCGTCGCTCTGTCGCACTCGTGGCAAGAACCCTGGACCCTAAACCCGAAACCGCATAACAATCGGGGGTTGTAGCGCCAGCGATGCAGAAAATAGAACGCCACACATCTAGACAATTGGTTGGTTATGCTTGCTGATTCAATTCAGGCATTTTATTTATTTCGTACCCAAAGGGAAACGTTTAGCCTCCCGCTCCGTAACAGTAGACCGCGATTGACATCTAGGTATGTTAGTAGACAGCCCCGAATACAAACCCCGAGGGAAGACAGTTCCTGGGTAGGCCGTACCCAACCGTAAAACCCCTAAGCCCGAAACCCTAAATCCTAAACCCTAAATCCTAAACCGCCTTTCAGGCGCCTGACGGTTCACAGTTATTGATTGAGTTGGCCAAAACCACTTTGGCTCAGCGACGAACGGAGAAGGGAGAGGCTGAGGGAGCTTTCGATTTTTAGGGTTCAGGGTTTAGGGTGTTGGGTTCCGGATTCTAAGGTTTTAGGGTTTTGGGTTTTTAGGGCTTTAGGGTTTTAGGGTTTTAGGGTTTAAGGGTTTTAGGGTTTTAGGGTTTAGGGCTTTAGGGTTTGTAGGGCTTAGACTTTAGAGCAGCCCTCGTGCAAGTTTTTTCAGCTGAGGCTTGTGCTGTTGCCGCCTGAGGACTTGCTTTGGTTTTTCGCGCTTTTACGTTTTTGGGGGTCTTGATTTAGGTTCAGACCCTCAACCCTCAACCCTAAACCCTATACTTCATAAACGCTACATTTCGATCCTAAACCCTAAGCCCCTGCACCCACATGCTGCGGCCAAAAGCGCGAGCGCACGCACGCGGGCGCGCGCACGCGAGCGCGCGCACGCGAGCGCGCGCGCTCTCTGGCTGTGTGGAGGACTTGCTCCCAGCCGCCAAGCGAGCGCGGCTGTCGCAACTGAGGCAGCCGCCCAAAGAGGACGGAGCCCAAACTTGCATGGGTTTAGGGTTTAGTTTAGGGTATAGGGTATAGGGTATAAGGTATAAGGTATAGGGTTTAGGGTTTAGGGTTTAGGGTTTAGGGTTTAGTTTGAGCTGCGCACCCTCAAGCCCGAACCCTTAAACTCCAAACCGTACACCCCAAACCCTAAGCCCCGAATATCCTTGAACTGTATAAGACCACAGTCTAAATCCTACTCTGGAGCCTTTTATCCCTGTACCTCCCCCCCTCCCACACACCAAACGGCTCAGCCCCTAAAACCCTGAACTCTTAACCCTTAGCCCCCAAACCCCCAAATCCCCAAACCTCTGAACCCCAAGCCCCTAAACCCCAAACCCTAAACCCCAAACCGCAAACCCTAAACCCCGAACCCCGAACCCCGAACCCCGAACCCCGAGCCCCAAGCCCCAAACCCCAAACTCTAAGCCCCAGACCCTAAACCCTAAACCCCAAACCCCAAACCCTAAATCCCAAACCCTAAATCCCAAACCCCAAACCCCTAAATCCCAAACCCTAAACCCCAAATCCTAAACCCCAAACCCTAAACCCTAAACCCCAAACCCTAAACCCTAAACCCTAGACCCTGAACGGGAGGAGGCGTTTCTGGCGGCTCAACAGTTCACGGAGGTCCACGAGCAGCTTCAGTGCTCCACGGCCTTTTAGGGTTTAGGGTTTAGGGTTTAGGGTTTAGGGTTTAGGGTTTAGGGTGCTCCCCCGGAGTTCGTTTGGCCCTCACCATGACGAAGCTCGTAAGGCTCCAAACCCTTTTGGGGTTTAGGGTTTAGGGTTTGGGGTTTAGGGTTTAGGCTTCGGGGTTTACGGTTTAGGGCTTGGGGTAGCCCAGGCGAGGAATGCGGCCGGTCCGGCTCCGTTCGCTTCCGCCGCCTGGCGAGCAGCCGGGAAGGCTTCAACAAGGCCCCAGTGCAGGGTTCTAGGGTTTAGGGTTTCGGGTTTTGGGTTTAGGGTTCTAGGGCTCTAGGGTTTGAGGGCTTAACCCTAAACCCCGAACCCAAGGGTCCAGGGGATTCTAGGGTTTTAGGGTTCTAGGGTTCTAGAGTTTAGGGTTCTAGGGTTCTAGGGTGCAGGGGCTCAAGACAGTGTTGAAGGGGTTGAGTTTTTGGGGTTCTAGGGTTAAGGTTTAGGGTTTAGGGTTTAGGGTTTAGGGTTTAGGGTTTAGGGTTTAGGGTTTAGGGTTTAGGGTTTAGGGTTTAGGGTTTAGGGATTCAAGGGCCAAGGGCTTCGGGGTCTAGGGCCGTCACGCCCTGAACCATCAGCCCATCAGAGGCTTCATCCTTAAGCCCTGAGCCCATCTAAACCCTCTAGTGTAGGGGTTTAGGGGTTTAGGGTTTAGGGTTTAGGGTTTAGGGTTTAGGGTTTAGGGTTTTAGGGTTTAGGGTTTAGGGTTTAGGGATCGAAGGTCTCCGAAAGAGTCTCAAACCTACGCCTTCAGAAGCGCCCCTGTGAGCCCTAGGCCCTAAGAGCGTCTAAACCCTCAGCCCTCAAGCCCTCTAACCACATCTCAACCCTAAATCCTAAACCCTAAACCCTAAACCCTAAACCCTCAACCCTTGTAGGCCCACAGATCCTGTGAAGACCGGGTTTTGTGTAGGTGCTTCAGGGGCTGGGCGGAGAGATGGTGGCCGCCTGAACAGGAGGCTTTAGGGCTTTGATGGGTTTTTGGGTTTAGGGTTTAGGGTTCAGGGTTCAGGGGTTTAGGGTTCAGGGTTTAGGGTTAAAGGTTTTTGGGGTTAGGGATTTAGGGTTTAGGGTTATGCCATTGTCGGGGTTCCGCTAGGGGTCCACAACTGGCTGTGGGTGGTGCTCTAAACCCTAAACCCCAAGCCCTAAACCCTAAACCCTAAACCCTAAACCCTAAACCCTAAACCCGAAACCCTAAACCCTAAACCCTAAACCCTAAGCCTGAAGCGCTCGGGTCCTAAGCCCCCAACCAGAAGTGCAACCTCCAAATCACACCAAGGAACCCCAAAGCTCTAACGTCCCAAGAAAGCCCAAAAAGGTCAACAGCACGATGAATCACCAGCAACCCCTAGACCCTAAACCCTCAACCCTAAACCCTAAACCCCAAACCCTAAACCCCAAACCCTAAACCCTAAACCCTCTGTGCCCTCTGGGCTGTTGAGAGGCAGAGACTTGGGGCAGCAGCGAGACCGAGGACAAGGGCGAGCGCTGCCCACTCCCCAGAGCGGGTTTAGGGTTTAGGGTTTAGGTTTTTGGGGTGAGGGTTTAGGGTTTGGTTTGGCGGTCAGGGTGGAGGGGCTTGGGCGCTTAGCGTTATTTGTTTGGGAGGCTTTTGGGCGTCTTTTTCTTCGGTGTTTTTTGGGCTTGGGCTGTTAGGTTCTGAGGAGGTTAGGGCCCTTAGGGCTCTTAGGGCTTTGTGTTCCGATTTCTGCTTTTGAGCTTGAGGATGTTTTGGTGATTGGAGGTTCTGGGCGTAGCTGTGGCACAAGCTCAGGGAGGTTGGGGCGCAAGCTTTGGGGCTCAGAGGTTTAGAGGTTTAGAAGCTGTACGTAAACCCCCAAACGCCTGAACCCTCAGGGTTTAGGGTTTAGGGTTTAGGGTTTAGGGCTCAGGGTTTAGGGCTTAGGGCTAGGAGGTTAGGGACCCCTTTCAACCCTAACTTTCTTCCCAGGTCGGGCGTTTTGCCCGGATTGCCTGGCCGAGTGGAACTTCGAGCTGTGAGCCCATGCTGTGGCCGAAAAGAGCTCAGAGGGTTCAGAGGGTTTAGGGGTTTAGGGGTTAGGGGTTAGGGTTTGGGGGATTTTAGGGTTTAGGGGATTTTAGGGTTTAGGTGGTTTTAGGGTTTACGGGGTTTTAAGGCTTTGGGGGGTTTTAGGGTTTAGAGTTTAGGGGGTTGAAGGGTTCAGAGGGTTTAGGGGATTTAGGAGGTTCAGGGTTTAGGGGGTTTAGGGTTTGAGGTTTGAGGGTTTGCGGGTTTTGGCGGGCTGGGGTGGGGGGGGGGGGGGGGGGTTTGAGGGCTAGTGTTAAGGGGATGTGCTTGGAGGTTCATGGGTACCTATATCCCCAATTATGGGTCTACTTGCAACCTATACACTTAGAGGGCTTCGGGGGATCCCATTGCAGCCGCCCCTCAATCCGAAGCCTTCAGCTCGTCACCTCTGAACGCAAGACTCCACACTTCCCACACCCAAGCCTAAGCTCACTAAACCGCAACCCCTGAGCCCTTGAACCCTTGAACCCCTGCAACACACCCTAAACCCTAAACCCCAAACCCCAAACCCCAAACCCCAAACCCCAAACCCCAAACCCCAAACCCCAAACTCCAAACCCCAAACCCCAAACCCCAAACCCCAAACCCTAAACCCTAAACCCTAAACCCTGAACCCCAAACCCCAAACCCTAAACCCTAAACCCTGAAAGTGCAGGGCGCTGGGAAGAATGGCGCCGAGAAAGGCTCCACCCAGAGCGCAATTCTAGGGATTTCTGTCGGGGTGGCTGGGTGCAAGGAGTTAGAAGGTCTCGCCCTAAACCCTAAACCCTAAAAACCCTAAACCCTAAACCCTACACCCTAAGCCATAAACCCTAAATCCTAATCCCGAAACCCTGGGTTTAGGCTCTTCGCTTTTGGGGATAGTTGGGGGTCCGCGAACCCCTAAACCCACCCCTATGCTAGGGGTTGGAGTTTCGGGTTTCGGATGTAGGGTTGAGGGTTTCAGGGTTAATGGTTTCAGGGTTGAGGCTGTAGACTTCTGGGCTTAGGGTTTCGGAGTTCAGGGTTCAATGTTTGGGTGCTTGGAGCTCTTAAGCCGAAAGAACACCAAAGCCCACAAAAAGAAGCTGAAACCGTGCAAGAACACCCAACAGCCCAAAAACACCCTCCGCCCCTATGTGGTTCAGGGTTTAAGGTTTAGGGACCCTAAACCCTAAACCCTAAACCCTAAAATCTAAACCCGAAACCCTAAGCCCTAAATCCTAAACCCTGAACCCTAAGCCCTAAACCCTAAACCCGAAACCCTAAGCCCTAAACCCTAAACCCTAAACCCTAAACCCTAAACCCTAAACCCTGAACCCTGAACCCTAAACCCTAAACCCCAAACCCCAAACCCTCACCCCCTGAGCCATCAGGTGCCCGAAGGTAGGCAGTTCCACTGAGCGGCAGCTGTGTGGACGGGGGCTCTTGCCGTGAGCGCCGCAAAACCCACAACTCGCTCTTAGGGTTTAGGGTTTAGGGTTTAGGGTTTCGGGTTTAGGGCTTGTGGTTCACGGTTTGGAGGTTTAGGGTATTCGCTTAAGTAGGGTTTAGGGTTTGGGGTTTGGGGTTTAGCCTAGTTCGGGACGATTTCAGGTCTCACGGTATCAGGGCTTTCATCTGCAGATTCTGTGGAAATACTCCGGGCTACATGTCCTGTGTCCTGGAAGCTTATGCAGTGATCTTTGCCGCCGCTCTTTTGCGGGAGCCCCCAACCAGGCGCGGTCGTCGCAGGTATAAAATAGTTTTCACCGCCCCGCGGGAACCTCCAGCCCGAAGCTCCCTAAACCTAACCCTAAACCCTAAGTCCTAAACCCCAAAGCCCTGGGACCTAGACCCCCCAAAACCTAAACCCCCCCTCCAAGCCCCTTAAATCCTAAACCCTAAGCCCTAAGCCCTAAACCCTAAACCCTAAACCCTAAACCCTAAACCCTAAACCCTAAACCCTAAACCCTAACCCTAAACCGATAGCACCCTCCACCTTAGCGCCCTCCCGCGGGCGTCTCACCAGTCTCACCGACTGTTGCTCTATGGGGACTCTGCTGACGCTCGCAATCCTGTCGGCAAGTGGGGTTTTGGTTCGGGATTTAGGGTTTAGGGTTTAGGGTTTAGGGTTTAGGGTTTAGGGTTTAGGGTTTAGGGTTTAGGGTTTAGGGTTTAGGGTTTAGGGTTAGGGGCTCGGGATCTAGGGTGGTTCATTAGGCCCTCAGCAGTGTTTTGTTTGCTAACTGTCG